ACTACGCGCCATCCTCTGCACACACGAGTTCATATGACCATGGATGGGAGGAGCGGCGACCGAAAATTCCTGGTCCATCGTGCTCGGCGGACTCGGGCGTCGCGTTCGAGATGTTTCCCTCCTCCTTTGCGTCTTCTGCGGCTCCCCCCTCGCATTCGACACCCCATGCCAGTTACCTGGCAAATGGCGGCGTTCCTGCAAGCCGCGAGCTGGCAGGGCGGCCGTATGTCGATCCTGACGAAATCCCTCAAACGCCGTATAGTCAAGGCAACAAGAAGTCGCGCCCGGACGACTTCCTCGGCTACATCCAGTACGGCTCCACCTGCAGGCTCGACAGACTCGTGGAAGGAAACGTCACCTGCGTTCCCGACCCACACCATGTTCCATGGCCTCTGGGACCCGACGCGTTGTCGCCCAAGCCTTCGTTTCGAATGAAGTTCGGAGCACACAAGTATGACCGCCAAGTGACGGTGTCGACGACGAAGGGCCAGGATCTCAACCCGCCGACCAAAGGGCGGCTAGCCATCCTCGCGGCGCGCGAGATGCGGACCTTCCTAGAACGGTGCGAGCAGAATAGGAAGCCGTTCGGGTACAGGTTGGATGAGTTGTACTTGCTGCGCATTGACTGGGCGGCCAAGGCTACTCTCCAGCCGAGGTTCGGGGTCCGGAAGAACTAGTTGGAGTGCAGGAGCATCGGAGGTCGCGGCCTTGCTGAGTATGCGACAACGTGTAGTACTAGCTTGGGGTACGTACGTAGGGTCTGGCAGAGTTCTGGCATGATAGGAGCTTCGAAAATCCGAGTAAGCACTGTTCCGTGACTTGTAGGATATGTAGCGCACAAATTGTGTAAAGTTCCCTGTAGGGTGGTGCACACACCGAGCCCCGTAGTCAGAAGATCGCCCACCGTCGGTACAAGAATATATCTATCTAGGGTTTCTTTTCGCGCGACGCGGCCAAACCAGTAAGCATCACGCAGATACAAGACAGAGCGCCGAGAACGATACATCAAGCAAAGAGTTCAGACACAGCAGCAACATAGTACACAATGCGAGAACATCTTGCAAGAGAACACGACACCATAGTGGAAGCACGAGACAGTCACGGTAATCGTACACAGCGACATGAAGGGGAGTAAGCACACGAAAGCGCTCGAACAAGAGAAGCGACATGATATGAGTATGTGGCAATCGAGGTAGCATGAAAGCAAGGCAAAATGGAGGACATACCGAAGCCGTGACGGGATGAGAAGACAACGACGTATGCGATGAGACACAAGACAGAGGCCGTGAACGTTCCATCTGGGACGAAGACAAACCAAGCGAAAATGTTCCCTAACTCCATGCGCATACTTCCGCTCAGGGATCGCACCCCCAGGCCACCGGAGCCAGGAAGCCAATCCCTGTCACGAACGTATGCGCCGAGTCCTCTCCCGTCCATCAGCCGCATAATAATCCTCGTCAAAAATCGGACGCCAAGGTAGAGTAATCAGCTCGCCGTCTGAGCACTCGAGGCGGGCGTCCGATTTGAGGATTCTTATGAGACTGGTGCGCGAGACCACCTAGCGAGCAACGGGGGACGTGAGTATGCGAGCGGCGAGGGGGGGGGAGAACGAGGACTCACCAGGAAAGCTATCTTAGTCGGACTCCTCCTTCTTGCCGGTCTTCGTGCCCTTGTTTCGCGGCGACCCCAGAGAGGTATGCCTCGATTGAAAGTGACGGGTGAGGTCATGCTTGCGACTGAACGCCCTGTCGCAGCCCGGATGCGGGCACTTGTGGTCACGCTTGAGCTCGTGGACGGACTTGACGTGCACGGTGAGGTTGTTGCTGCGCGCAAACTCTGGCTCCACGGGTCAGTAACAGCATACGCGGACAGTGGGTAAACGCACTTTTATCACACAACGGGCACTGGAACTTTGGCGTTGTGTCCTGCGGTTTGCGCCGCTTCGTGACACGCGACTTTTCCTCGGCCTCAGGTTCAAGCATGTCCGAGTCCACGTCTATGTCACCAGTTGCGACCTCGCGCTTGACCACCACGAGAGTCGCGGGAGGACCCATATCTGCGGAGGGAGGCGCCGGTGGCGTAGAAGGGAACACGACATCGTTCATATTCCCTTGCACACCCTCAGGCTGGTAACTGAGGTCATAGGCATCTGTCGCCGCAGCACCGACCTCGTGCTGCGGCGCAAGGTGCCCATAACCGAACTGAAAGTCCGTTGAAGACGGGGTCGCAGGCGGACTAGGGAAGTAAGAGGAAGAAATGGATACGGACGGTGATGGATACTGGAAAGTGAAGTCAAAGGTGCCAAGAGCTGCGTCGCTCAGTTGGGAGTCTTCGTCATCCATCGAAGTGAGGTCGGAGATGGCGGAGGTGGCGGAATAATGAGAAATGGACATTGGAGAAGAAGGCTCTATGGAGGAGCCGGTGCTTGAGCCTGTATCGTCCGGCATCACATACTTGTCGGACGGGGGCGCTAGAGGAAGGAATGGAGAAGACATGGTCGATTCCAACATCCAGTCGGACGCACTGGGCATCCCACCAGAGGAAAGTCCGTCATCGTAAGTGTTCTCCATGTTCCAGTCGTCGATATGATTGTTGAAATCCGCGATTGAACGCTCCCCGCCCTCGAGGCCGGTCGGAGCCTCGTTGGCGCGGATGTTCTGTCCGAGTTCGAGACCAAACCAGTCGCAGAAGCAAGGTCGGTCAAAGTCTGGAGGGCAATTGCATAGCATGATGCAGGCGGCGGCGGAGTATGTGGTAGCAATACGCGCGGGGATGGGGATGAGGACTTTCACCGTGGGTGACATGCAACTTATCACTGAATCAGGCGCTGCCCTGCCTGCGACTTCTGCTGCAGAGAGCTCCTTCTTTCCTTCTCTCGCTCTGCAGACCGTCCATGAGGCCTCTCCCGAGCGCCATCGAGGTACGAGATATGCTGCATCGCGAATCGACCCTTGAACCTTGTTGCAATGTTCCCAAGCCGTCGCGGATGAGGTCTTCGCCCTACTCCGCTCCATCGATCGAGAACGCCGTTCGTGAGAGACCAACTTCGGCAGCCTATGCATGCCCATCCACCACATCCTAACTCGCTATGAGTGCTCGTGCGGCATTCCCTCTGTCACACTCGAAGGAGAGCGCGCCGACTGGAAGAACCTGCTCGCCGTCTGGAACGCCTCCCGGAGCTCGGCGAAAAGCCAGCCGTCTAGGTGCGCCCGATCCTCACGCGCTTCCTGGCTGTGTTCTACACCAAGTACCGGAGCGGGGGCGCGCACTCGCACCCGAGGCTATACGGCGCCGACGAAATGAGCGGTTGGATCACCGCGTTTTGCGTGTTGAGCGAGGGAAAGTAGCAGGCGGGCTCGTCGAGCGATATCACGCACCTGCGCGAGCCGCGCTCGGGCACAGACGACAGCAGGTAAGAGAAGTGTACGTGCATTTGTTGTTTCTCTTGTCTACCAGCAGGATTGCTGATACGTCCCCATTCTACAGATGCCAACATACAGCTCAGTAAGTGGTATCTCCTCGACGGGGTGTCGTACCCTACACTCTCAATAAAGTCCCCAATCCCACACGATTATTGCGAGGTTGATGAGCTTCTCGACGATAACGACACCCAGTTCGAGTACATGATGGTCGCGGGCCTTATCGGGTCTCTTCGGGAGTGTGATGAAGCAAGTCCTGGCTACCGAAGAATGACACGGTATGGCCGGCGCGCATGAGTTCATGTTCGTCAAGGGAAAGCGCGAACTTCAGGACCTATTCGCGCGAAGTTCTCAGAACACGCGTGCGAAGGAGAAGAAGAGAGGATGTACTTACTTGTTCCGTGTATCTGCGTATTTTGATGAACGATATCAACTGCTGTCTCGATTTTCATCCTGAGCTTGAATGTGTTCCCGGCACGATGCTCGTCGTTCAAGACTGGATAATTTCATACTTTCAACATTCTGCCCTGCGCGCGGCGAGCTGAGTCCCATGTGGGGAGGATCCAATCATTCCGGGGCTTCCGGCCATGTTCCGCATGCAGGAAGTCGTAGAGAGCAGCGTTGACCGGAGCGGCGGAGGCCAGGAGAGAGGCGGTCGACAACACCGTTCGAGTATAGTGCCCAGCAGATAGCGGGAGTAGGATGCGGGGACGCGGAGGACTGGGACGGTGGTCCAGATGATGTCGGAGAGCTTACGCTGGGTCTTGAAGTGTCTCGCGTGTAGGACGGAGCCAAGATTAGAGGCTGTGGGCATTCCAGAGCGGGTGGCTTGACTGACCAAGAATGATGAGCATATGGAATCATGAGAGGTGTGGAACAGACATCGACGGTCTGTGAGATAGCAGCAACATCCATGCAAGCTGATGACATACCTTCCGCTTCATCACCCGCAATCATCCCATCGGCAACTCTTCTGAGCAGAAGGTCCCAAGTTCCTCCGACGTGATGCACTTGAGTGTACGCGTGAATGCAGATAGCGCCATTCTAATGAGAGAGGTAGACAGCGTGTATAAGAGCCCGAGAAGTCATCCGAGTTGCAGAGGAAGAGATATGTCACATACACCGACCGACAAAGAAGATTATGGCATATCGCTGCCCATACAGACTTGAGAGGGCTTCATCGTACACCGAGGCATCTGTGACAAAAAGACGTGTCCAAAGGTAACTCACATGGCACGGCGAAGATGAGACAATGTCTTGAACCTGCCGGAGACCACAAGGGAAGTTGATGCCGAAGCGTATACAGCACAAAGACCGTCACGATCTTGCGGTCATGTAAGAGGAGCATGCCAAGTACGAAGAGTGAATGAACGTCGTCAAGATGATGCCGGAAAGTCCTGGCTGCGAGTCTGTTCAAAAACGCGCGGCTGGGATAATTAAAGAGGTAGTTGGGACACATCCGTGGCCAGGGCGACTGGTGCAACAGAGGTCGAGGGAAAGGCACAGAAGAAAGTGTTGCGGCGGTGATGTCTCTTGTGGGCGCATGCACCTTATGTAAATAACTAAGCTTAGAAGTCTGTCGGCCTGGTGGTCTAGTAGTATGATTCCTTCTTAGGGTTGTCCCAGAATGGAGGAGGTCCCGGGTTCAATTCCCGGCCAGGCCCGCCTGCAGGAAATTTTTCTCCCTGCCACCATCTTAGCTAGAGCGCGGCTACGTTGAGCTCGCAACTTGTGCGACGTTCATCATCTCTCTGTTTGTTGCTCACAGCGAAGCACAAGGAAGAAGTACCGAAGACCTTGAGATAACTCGCTGTGCGGTGACATTATGCATCAAGGCACGGTGAGCGCATCGCCGCTTACACTTGTGCGGTCGCGCCCGTCTGCTCTGAAGGTGTGTGCACACTGCACACTGCAGAATGCCCGACAGTATGAAGAAGCTCGCATTGAACACGCGCACACAGGGCTGGCATGCCTAAGTATTTCGATTTATGAGCTACCCCGCCCCTACTATCGTCTGCCCACTCCCTCTAGACCCTTGCTGGCACACGTCGTCCTTGGGCTGCGCCCGCCACACGATAATGCACGAAGATGGACGACATCATCGAGGACATTCGATCTATGTACGTGATTGCGCTATCTCTCTGGCAAGCATCCCTCGCTGACTGGAGGGACCAGCACCCTTGCGACATCACTATATGACGCCGCGACAGGTGAGAGTATATGACACGCTCATGATGGCACGATTGGTCTTACATTTTGACTAACTGCAGCCCTGTTTTGCTACGACTACTGCCTGACCTTCGGAAGAGAGGTCCAGTATATATGGCCCCTGCGTCTTTCGGTACCCTCACTTCTCTTCTTTGCCGTCCGATATCCTGCCCTCGTCAACACTGCTTTCATCATCCTAGACCAGACATGTTGGAGAGGCATGACAGACGAGGTACGCAGCTATTGACGTTTCAATTTGACACAATAGACTGACCGCTCGAGCCTAGAGGTTGGTCTCTCTTAAGCTTCTCGAATAGCGTTCCCTGAAGGCTCAGCTTTGGTTGCTTGACTCCATGCAGCTGTACGATTATGGTTCGCACACAGATGGCCCTCAATCTTATCCTACTAATCTCAGCTGCGTGTAAGCCAATTGATCTCGTCCCTCTTCTTCATCCTCGGACTAATGCAAACGCGTCAGTTTTCTCCGGACTCCGCGCGTACGCATTATGTGGGCGCAGCCGCGCTGTTCTCGTTCTCGTTCTGCTATTGGGTCTCGTGAATCCCTCGATCTCATTGGTATGTAACATTTCTTCGCTGTTTGTTGCACTCGTTAGACCACTTCGGAGCTGATGGCTGATAACTTCGCAGGTCACGTTCATCCGGTCGGATACTGCTCTGTTCTCGTACCCAGTCCGTATATGCGGCTTCTACTCAGCTGTACCCGGGGAGACGTTCGAAAAGTAAGTGACTCCACTCCTCTCGACTTCGGTTTCCGAAGTTTTTGCTGAAGTTGCTCTCTAGCTGTGCGTATGCCCTCATGTGATCCGTATAATCCGTCACCTTACGATCTTATTCGAACAGGGATGGTGATCGCACGAACCTCATCTGTAGTCGCAGATGGACTTGTACTCGCCATTACGTGGAGTAAGACTTGGAACGTCCGAAGGGAGGCTCCGCCGATGAACTTCGCCTCGAAGATCACTATGGTGCTCATGAGAGACGGTGCGTATACAGCCCTACCCACTCGCGCGACTTACCCTGACCTTGCCGACGAACAAGGAACGTTCTATTTCACGTACGTCATCTTCAACTACCCACGTCCGCGCTGTTTGATAGCCTCGTAACTTGCATGCTCAACCCCGATGCGCTCATGCAGGATACTACTGATCATCAACCTCGTCGCTCTAAGCCTGAGCCGAGCCTTCCAGGTATGACTCCGGTTGCTCCGCATCAGCTTGTTGTCGCTGATCTGCTTTGCAGTTGATTGAGGCCATATCGACCTGGATAGCAGTGTAAGTCTCCACTACAACCCGAGTTTCCTCTCAGTGTTCACTCTCCGGCACTCGCGCAGTGTCACCTCGATCATGATGTCGCGCTTCATCCTCGACCTTCATGCCGCCGCTCGCCTGCATACGGTGGACGACACATCGTCTCCGCTCACTCCTCCCGTGTTCGCAACCGCGGGGACAAGCGTTAGCTCCTTCTTCGGCGTCCTGACCACAGATATCTCTGTCGAGCCGATGGACGCTCTGTCGCGGGCCTCGGCGGACATCTAGCCACTCGGCATCGTGCAAGTCACGAACAGAGCGAGCCCATCCATATCTTCATGCCGACACTGACGCTCGTCAAAGTGCACTTCGAACGACCCTCGTCCCATCTCGGAGAAGGCACTCCCTTCGGCGTCCACAGTACGCGAGCTAGACAACGTGCCTGCTGCGTTCACCACCTCGTACTGTGTTTATTGTTTACTATATCACACACGCGGAATTTCAGCTGCGAAATAAAATCGCTTTATCGTCGCCACATGCTGCCCTCCTGTCTGCCTATTATCACAGTACAACTTTGTACTCGAGCAAGCGTACAGAAGAGAAGCTATTCAAGGCACATTGCCCTATAGTACAAACGTCATCGCGGCGTGAATAAGGGAAGGGAAGGGTGTGCATAGAGCATATAGTGGAAGAACGGCGGCTTTGTCGAAACGCAGCGTGCGTGTCATGCTCGTGTATGCGCACGCCGCGCTCCCTGCGGAGAATAAACACAGAGTGGGACCAGAGATCTGAACAGTCGAAGGAAAGGCTCCGGGAAACTTGTAAGGGCGAAATGCCTAGGTGAGGAGCGCAATGCGCTCCATGGACGCTTCTGAAGAGTTGAATCGTCACAGCGCCGAGGGAGTGGATAGTTCAGAGAGCGTGGTGTGGTGGAAGGAGAGTGTGGTAAGGCGTCGCATGCGGCGAGCCGGGAAGTCGCGAGATGATGGGTGCGAGAACTGGCGATGTACTTGTGCGACGACGTGTCGGCGTGCGCCAGGCTAAGCGGAAAGCGGGAGAAAAGCGGGAGAGAGAGCATGCTGAGGAGCAAGCAGCTGGGCCATGGAAGCGCACGACGGTGTGTGCGGCACGTCCAACACAGGCCCCGCGCTCTCAGCGCGCGTGCATCTCCCCAGATACGAGCATCCAAGGGACAGCACACGGCCTCTTCATCCTCACCCTCATCTTGATCATCCTGAGCCAAGGTCTTGAGATCCGGGCGGGGGAACTGATCTTGATGAGGGCGAGGACGGAGAGGCCGTGTGCTGTCCTTTGGGTGGTGGTATTCGGGGAGATGAACGCGCGACGAGGGCGCAGGGCCTGTGTTGGACACGCCGCACACACTGTTGTGCGCACGTCTCCAAGGAAGCCGTTGAGGTCCAGGGAAGGGCGTAGGGGCCTGCTGTTCGGACTTGCCGAGCTGCAGGCGCGCACGACCCACTATGGGCGGCGACGAATTCAAATGGAGGGGTTCACTGTGGAGAACGTGTCAGCGATGGTCGACAAGGCTTGAATCAGATATGCGAGACAAGGAGAAGTGGTAGAAAAGTAATGACAGTGACATACCGGCGATCGCGTGAGTGTCCTCAGTCGTGTGATTAGTGCTTCTGTAGGATATGGTTCTTGAGGTCTCCAGGACGCTTGTATTTGCATGGGCAGAGGGGGCACTGGGAGCGCTCAAAATTGGGGTCATGCTGCTCCTGCATGTGCTGGCGGAGGTTACTGTGGCGGTTCTTGATCATGACTAGCGTGAATAGCATTGGTCATTGAGGACCCAGTGTAATGCGGCGTAGTGAGCGACATACCTCCACATTCTGGGCACTCATACAGCCTCTTGGGTATCTGTCCTGCAGATGATGTGGTGCTAGTTCTGGTGCGTCGTGGCTTGCGCAAGGCATCTGCGGCGGCGGTATTTTATTGTAATGGCCGGACAATGTTTACCTTGCCATGGTAATGTCCAACGGGCATTGCCTTGGCTGTCTCGCATTGCCCGGCATTGCTACGGACGGCTAATTGATTGCCAGTAGTTAACTTGAATTGCAATGTGTTACCTGTCAATGCAATATCTCGGAACATCGGCTTTTTGCGTGCCAGAGCACACCTTGCAAGGCAGCGTTGTGCGGGTCGGGCGACCATGCGACCCGGCAGGTGGTGACCTGGGTCGCAATCGTGCGACCGGCGTGCCGACCTTGATGCGACCCGACTTTGGTACCGACCCGGAGTATACGGGACGAATGGCGGCCCGTCGTTCCCCATCAGTAGGCACGTTCCGAAAGTTGAGACGGCGGATATACGTCTTCGAACGAGCGCCTGAAGAAGTTACACCCCCGACCCCGTCGCTTCATGCATAGTGTCACCGTTGCGCGCAAGTTGCAACAGCGAAGGGCGAATGGACCCCGCGGTCGAGTGTGCCAGTGGAAGGAATCACAGTAGTACTGGGAAGTATTGGTCCCAGTTTCGCGCTGTATCGCAGACTCGAATCGTGTTGAACTCTATGCTCGTCCCTTGATCTGTCCCAATCAGATCCGGCTTAGACTGCATTCGTGAGAGATAGGTGAATCTCCACCGCGCTGGAAGTTTCCAGTCCAGGTTACAACCGGCGGAGGAGTATAGAGTCCACTCTTGCAGTCGCTTAATTTGTATCCACCGGGAGAGAAAATCAACTCCGACAGAGTCTATGCAGACATGATATATGAAAAGACAGCGGAAAGTTGAGGAATGCGTTGCTTGTATCCTTCATCCTTCCAGAGGGGGCTCTCTGCGACACGATTCGTGCGTCACGTGAGCCGTTTGTCTGCCCAGCGTCCGACTCCTTCCATGTTGGGCCCAAGGTCAGGTCGGATATGCGACCTTGCTTCTGGCAGCACGACTTCACGCCAGTCGCACGCCGGTCGTGCCGACCGGCACAACGCTGTTGCAAGGTGTGCATTGCGGCGACAAGGTGTCGAATTGCAGCACAAGTGAGACTCCCAATGCCCATTTCAATGTCACAAATCAGTCATCACATCCAAAAGCGAGAGCAGTATAGATCATTTTCATTCACAGCGGTAAGTAGTACAAGGACACGGGGTTCAAAGACCATATTACAAACGGCTAGACATGGCGTAAATTAAGAAGACGTCGGTGAAGGTTGGACGGCCTGAACCTAA